CAGACGCTCTCCATTGTCATCAGATAAACGTGCACCAGCTCAGCCTGGCCACCGACAGCCGAGCACCCTCCTTCACAGGGGCTTGCAGTCCTGATGTGTGGGTGGGTCCTAGCTTCTCACGAACTAGCTCTGTGACCTTGGGCAAGTTAATTTCTCTGTCCCTTCACTTTCTCCTCTATAAAGTGGAGATAAGAATACGTAACAGCAGTGTGTTGTTGGAGGAGAGCTGTGCTGGGAAAGTAAATCCATCCTTTTCCCCTGTGGCTCCAGCCCCACCGCATTGGGTTGTCGGCGAAACAGAAAGCCCAGGAGTTCAGAGACATTCCACTGTCCTCTGGGTTCCTGGTCCCAGGCATCAGGTTGCACTGGCCCCAGAAAGGAGGCTACGCATTTATCAAGCTAAGCAGTTTTGCTAGGAGACAAGGGAGAGGTAACCCTAAAATAACCCTGTCTCCCCTGGGCCTAGTGCCTTGTCAGCACCAACAGTGTTGTCCAAGAAGGTCAGGACTGAGTCCTCCAAACCCCAGTCTGTCCCCTGGTTCTGGGAGAGCGATGCCTTCCCAGAAGAGGGAAGACTGAGATCACTTTTTCCCCTCAAGCTGCATTCATTCATCCATCCATCCACCCATCCATCTGCCCATTCATTCATCTGATAAACACTCAGTGCCCACTCTGAGCCAGCCCTGTATTAAATGCTAAAGGCAGAACGAAGAGTTATGAAATGTGACCCTTGCCCTTTAAACATTCATGGTCTAGGAGTCAGTAAGCTGCAGTAGCACAAGCGTAGATTTTTGGAGCCAAGAGGCCCAGGTTCAAATCCTAGCGCCATTATTTACTAGTGTATGGCCGTAGAACACATCACTTATCTTCTATGTACCCCACAAGTTCTCATCTGTAAAATGGGGCTAATAATGTCTACATTCCAAGGTCCTTGTGAGGATGAAACGGGGTAACATGCAGAGTACCTAGCCTGAGTGAGACCTCAGGAAACAGGCTCCCGGCCAGGCCCGCTAAAAGCAGCACAGAGGCAGGAGATGAGGAGATTCTACGGGGCTCCCGGTTCTCACTACAGTGAGATAGCCGGCTTATTTAACCATATTCCATCTTGTCTCTGGACCCTTCCTAGTAAGGAAACAGCCCAGCCTTAGGTAGGCTTTGCAGGTAATCTAGGGATCCTAACTTTTGCACAGATGGGGGTGGGGTCTCTGGCCTCCAGGAATTTGCCGATTGATTTGAATCCCTATTGGGGGTTGCAAGTGGCAGGGGTTGGGGTGGGCTTGAGTATGTGAGGGCTCAGGTTAAGGGGAGGCCAGGTCAAACAAGGCAGCTGTTCCCCTCCACGGTGAAGGAGAGGCCACAAGACTGCTGGACCACGCCTATCCCCGGGTCCTTGAGGAAGCCTGACACATTGTAAGCATGAAATAAAACCTTTGAATGAATGAATGAGTGAGCTGGGAAATTCACCCTCTGCCTAGGCTGATGCTCTGCTCTCGCTCGCCTATACGGAGAGGCGGGGTGGGTATTGCTGCATGGACTTTGGTGTCCCCTCTGCAGGAAACTCCATGGTTGACACGTGGTGGCCCAATGTGTGGGCACAGGGCAGATGCAGGTCACACCGCCCCAGGTGAGTGCAGGTGTGACCGGAGTGTGCCTTCCGGCTGCTCTGCTCATGACCTGCTCTGTCTGAGCTGACCCCAGCCTGCCTGCTGCTTTCACAGAGGCAGAGGTCTGAGAACCGAGCTCCTCTGGCTCCCCTGCGAAGGGGAAACCCACAGGCGGTGCTGAGAGGGGCCTGAGCCACAGTGAGGGGTGCCTGATGGAAAAGTACAGACAGAGATTCTCACTTCATACCCAGCCCTGCTGGGAAGTTCAAAAATATGTAGGGGAAGCTGGTGCAAAGGGAAATTTCCCTTTCTCCCCACAACTTCTTCTCCTCCACACCACCTGGAGCCCGAGAGGCATCTTCATTGTCTTGAAAGAGACACTGGCTGTTCTGAGTGAACTGAATGAATGGCCTGGGACAGTCCTGTCTCCCGCACAGTGAGGGCGTACGTGGGAACAGTGACAGGACCCTGTTCTGGGTAAGCTTGCCGGGCACATAGCTCAGGACACACACACTATTCAGTACAGGTCACCACTGACCAACAAGGCTCAGCAAGGCTGCCTGGACCACACACTACCACTCTAGTCCCAGCTTTCAAAGGACCCACAGCAAACACCTACAGCTCCCTGTAAAACACCCATGTTATCCTAAGCAGTTCATCCTGTTGCTTCAGTCCTCACAGCAACTCTGCAAAGTGGGTATTGTTCTCTGCCCTTTACAGATGGATAAACTGAGGCTCAGACCCTTGCCGAGCTGACAGGATTAGTAAGTGACAAGAGGAGGAGTTCAAACCCAGGTAAGACTGCAAACCTGCATCCCTTGGGTGCCCTGAGGTGTGCCCTGGGTGCTGTCTCTAGGAAAATCCCAAGGCAGAGGGTAGCTGTTGTAAGGTCCAGAGCCTGCCTCGAAACCACAGAGGGCAGGTACTCGGTGGAAAAGTCCAGCATGTGATTCACCCTCCTCCCATGCTCTGTCACTGAGGGCCAGCTCCCCTCTGCGGTTCTCTGCTGCTGCCAGCCTGGGAGCCGGTGGTTCCATCCTTCTGCTTTGGTAAGAGGCGGCTGTCTTCCGCCGGCACATCCCTATCTCCTCATCCCTGGAGCTGGTGCTGGTACCAGGAGTGGGCAAGGTGAGAAGGGGGAAGAGGGAACGGGCAAAGAACAAAAGGAGGGGAGAGGAGGTCGGATCTGAGTCTTGGAGCTCGGCTGCGAGGGGTCCTTTTGGGACAGCCACTAGGAGGGCGGGAAGGGCTACAGAGGGAGTGAGTGGGGGTGGGGGACCGGGGACAGAGGACTTACTGAGGTTAGATGTTGTAATCCTGGTTCACAAACTTTTGACCTCAAGCCCTCCTGTTGCTTGTGGTAGTGCTCTGTCCCTTCACTTCCCAATACACTCACACACACACACGCCAGCCTCTTTCCATTGGAGCCCAGGACAACGGCGTGGATGGGATTCTGAGCCGGGAGCACAGGCGGAAGAGCGGAGGTGGAGGACAACTTCCCTTTCAGGTCCTGTCTCCCTGGGTATTCCCGTAGTGGCTTCCCTGGGCTCTCCTGGGGACCTGAGGCATGGAGCTGAGCTGACCACAGGAGCCGGGATCGGGGCTGAGGTGAGCAGGGGGTGGCGGGCTGGATCTGTCCTCGCAGATGCGAGAGGGTCCTGAGAGGGGCTGGAGTATGAGGCCTGAGAGGCGAGCCTGGAGCGGGGTGTGTGCGTCTGTGGTGCAACACACCGGGGCCAGAGCAAAGTCTAATGTTCAGGAATCCCAGGACGAGGGGGGTCCCCGCTCCCCCTCACCATCCACGGCATCTGAGCTGCTCAGAGACAAGCCTGGGGAGCAGGAAAGTCGGTAGATGGAGGGATGGCCACAGGGAGTGAGTGAAGGAGGGGTGATCACCTGACTGAGAGGGAGAGGGAAGCAGACAGTCCCCAGCAACGTGGGTGGAAAAGCAGACAGGAGAAACTTCAGCCATTCCTGAAGGCAACTAGTGATCACAAGTGAGGGGCTCCTGCCCCCCCTCCCAGTAGAGCAGAAGGAGGAAGCTGCCTGGCCCAGGGGAGGCATGGGCATGCTGGTGCCTGAAGGAGGTAATGAGGGGGCTGACGGAAGGCGCAGGCGGCCACCAGCCAAGCCAAGCAGCCCCCGGGGTATGAAGGACTAGACGGGAGCCTGGTTTTGGTGCCATGCACACAGGTATGTGTGTGCAAAGGGACGTGACCGGAATGGCACCGGTGTGTGTACAGGAACAGGAACTGGTATGTGGGTGTGGGCTGAAGCAGGAGCTGGGGTGTCCCGTGCTGGCCTGGGATGTGCCGGGGCTGAGCTGGGGTCCCAGCAGCATGTGGGGAGTAGCATTTCCACCCCTGTCTGCTCCTCTGCTAGACCCTGGCCAGGCCTCCGTCCACATGCCTGCCTCCTACAAACAGTTAAGTCTGGACTTGCTAGCCTCCTGAGTATTTCCTCGATGGGCAGCACTCAGCCCAGTGTGGCTGGCGGTGTCTTTGCTTCTGGAGGGCACTGAGGTATGGTGAGGTCCACTGCATGCCCCCACTCCCTGTCCCGCTTGGCAGAGCAGGTGGGCAGCCTGGAGAGATGACGCTAGGGGCCGCAGAGGTGACAGAGCTGGGTGGGTGCTTGGGAAGGGGGAGATCTCTGGAAGTCATCTTGACTGTGGATAACACTGTTGTTTATTCCTAGCAAATGGGCTGGGGTGGAAGGGCACGGTGGGGGCAGGGTGAGGGTGGCAGGAGGGCCGGGGGTGCTGTCCCTTTGGCTATTAAAAGCAATCCAAAACGGAGAGCTCTGTGCAGCTTGTTTTTATGCCTAACATTTTCCTGGACATTTCTTCCCTGAGTCTAACTTGAATCCTGCTTGCTCAGTTTGAGCCTGTTTCCCCCGACTGAGCGTGGCTCTGGGCCAGCCTTCCCTTTCACATGCCCTTGCTTTCATTGTGCCGTTCTGGGCTCTCGGTCTTACCTGTACGTGATCATCCTCCCGATAACCTTTAAACAAAATCGTGTCACATTTGTGTCAGTCCATCAGTTCACGTTGTCCTCTCTCCATCCCGTCTGTGATGCAACCCAAAATCCTGTGCCCAAACGGGGTTCTGAGATTTGCTTCCTGATCCCACAGTGCCTTCAGGTTTTCCCTTTGTTTACTCCTTTCCCTGCCTCCAAATGCTGAGGACAGCTTGGCCCTGAATAGCTGCTTCTGGTCTGGGAACAGTGAAGCTCATCTCCTGACCATCCCCTTGGTGACCCCTGTGCTTGGGTTCACCCTGAGCTCAGCTACCCTCTGGCTTGGCGAAGGCAGTCATCTCTCCTTGTCTTCTGTGGATCTTATTTTTATCCCTGCTCTCCCAACACCTCGGTGAGCAGAGGTCCTTCTCTCTTCCAGGGAAGCTCAAAGCCCAGAGAGGAAGTGTGGTTTGCCTAAGGTCACACAGCAACTTAGAGACTCAGTTCCACTTATTGCACTGGTAAGTTTATGCAAACCATTCAACAAAGCTTTTACTGAGCACCCGTTGTGTGTCAGGTCTTGTTCTTGATTTCTCTGAGAATCTCCTCATTTATGAAATGGAGTTCATAGTAATACCTACTTCAGAGATTTTTATGAAGGTGACATTTAATAATGTGTATAAAGGTGTGTATGTTTTTAGGACTGTGCTTACTTACTTTGATTACTATTATTAGCTAGGTCTGGACTAGAACTTGGGTTTCTGTCTGGTGCTTTTTTCATTGATGATTTTTAGTTCATTCATTCATTCATTCATTTTTTGGATAATGATTTAGGGGCCATTCCTCAGGGTGCCCTTGCCCCAATTCTGTAGCAGCCTCCACAGTTGGTTCAGGTATCACCCACTTTTCCCCTGCGGCCAAACTGCCTTGTTCTTTCAACCTGAGCCTCTGGTTTCAAGGCCCGCTGAGGTCTGCTGCTTACTCTGAGCCTGCCGCTTTCTCCAGTCCTGTCTTCCACTCCTCCTCACCGACACCGGGGGCTGGGGACTCTGGCTTGCGCTGGCTGCGTGCCTCTCTCCCCATCTTCCCTTCTGGGCTGAGCCCGTAATAGCAGCCTCTGAGTAGGTGCCAATACCGGAATTTCACCCTGACATGCTTTCCCATTCCTGGGATAACCTGCACCCTTCAAGTCACCTTCAAAAATTTCCATAACCTCAAATGGCTCCTGCCACACCTTCCTAACCGACTTGGGCTTGGGCCGTTGCCTGGGTTAAAAGGACCAACAAATAAACACAGACTCTTCTTTTAATAAAAAGGACCCCTTGTGTGTCTCTGGGGCTGTGGAGGAGCATGAGCACTTGGTGTCTCCGAGTCACTCCATGTCCCAACGCCCTTCCTTCGTAGGCGAGGGGCGGTGGGTGGGTGCTCCCCTCTGCAGCCTGGGCACCTCCTCCTGGCAGCTCACTGGAAACAGAGGCAGAGGTGGCCTCAGGGAGATGGTGGGGTGGGGGCAAGAGGGGCAGGCAAACAGAGATTTCTAGATACAGCAGCAGGGTGCAGCCATCTGCCTCATGGCAGTCGACAGACAAGAGGGCAGCATAGAACTGAGTGGCCCACGTGGCTTTCCTGGAAGTCCAGGGAGCGTTGGGCTCTTTCAGAGGGCAGGGAGTAGGGAAGGGCAGCGACCTGCTGGGTCTCCTCTGAGGGGACCCCTCTGATGTGGAGAAGACCGTCACCCGTGACAACTGCTCTGGTAACACCTTCTGTCACCAGGACCCCGTTCCTGTTCTCAGGACAGAGGTACAACCAAGAGGAAAAGAACCAGGGTTCCCTTGGAGGCCAACACTGGCCCTGGCGCCAGTCCTGGTCCTCATCTGGCCTTGTGCAGAGGCCCCACCTTCCCTCTGCCACCCAATCAGGTCTCTTGAGCTGGCTGGCTCCCATGTTTACCCTGAGTTGGTCGATCACCCCGGAACAGGGATGAGCTCACACAGCTGGTCAAGGGAAGACCATGCTGTCAACTCGGCCACACCTTTGACCTCCTGTCGTCCCTGGCAGCCTTTGATCCCTTCCGGCCTGCAGGCTGGAGGCTGAAGAGCTGGGGCTGGCTGGGAAGACCAAAGGGACTTGGTATAAAAGGCCCCGAGCCTGGGTTTAAATATAGTCCTAAATGGTCGTAGGCAACTCGTTTCATCTATCAAGGCCTGGATTTTCCCATCTGCAAAATGGGCAAGCTAAGCTTAGGTCCTTATTTGTTCTCCAAGTCATGAGAGCAAAGTGTAACTTGAGGTGTGTCATTGAGAGCTTTGGAAGAAAATCAATATTAAAGCAATATTCCAACACTATTAAAAGATTCGCATGGAGGAAGCAGGGATGGCGGGCACGTGTTGGGGCTGCACAGCTCATTCCTTCTCCTCCCACCAGGCTGTGCCTCTCTCGCCATCCTGCCCCACTCCCAGCCTGGCAGCCTCCAGACCCCTTCCGTGACTATGGACGGAAAAGTGGCAGTCCACGAGGATGGGCCTCCTGTGCTCTCCTGGGTCCCCGAGGAGGGAGAGAAGTTGGACCAGGAAGGCGGGGACCAAGTGAAGGATCGGGGCCAATGGACCAACAAGATGGAGTTTGTGCTGTCCGTGGCCGGGGAGATCATTGGGCTGGGCAATGTCTGGAGGTTTCCCTATCTCTGCTACAAAAACGGAGGTGGTGAGTAGGCGCGGTGGGGAGCTGTGCCCTGACAGCCAGGCGGTGCCTACCTGGGCGACGCGTGCCTGGGCAGCGTGGTGAGACGGAAGGAGGCTGGAACGGAGTTGGAGGACTTGAGTTCCAGGTGTAGCTCCACCGTGTCCCCACTGTGAAATGGCGACGACACCCACAGGGTTACGGTAAAGATTAAGTGAGGCAACAGCAGGACCTAGGAATCTGAATTTTTATTTATTTATATTTCATTATTTTTTTAAAGTTTTATTAAAAACTTTAAAGTGTTTTTAAATGTTTGAGGACTGGAATTACTTGCCCACCCCCAGAGGTGTTTCCTATCTGGCCTATTTCATTCAATGCAAGGAAAAAATCTTATCCTAGGCTTGGTTGTTCCAAAATAGAAATTTGAATCAATGAAATAGTTTTTTTAATGTATTTATGTATTTTTTTAGTTAGTTAGTTACAGATGTTCCCCCCCATTTTCCCCCATTGACACCCCCCTCCGTGCTCCCATCCCACCCCTACCTTCATAGTACTGTTTTCTGTGTCCTTTGGTTATATATATATATATATATGCATATAAGTTCTTTGGCTTCTCTCTTCCCACTCTCCCCTCCCCCCTTCCTCTGAGGTTTGTCAGTCTGTTCCCTACTTCAGTGTCTCTGGGTCTATTTTGTTCATCAGCTTATTTTGTTCATTAAATTCCACAAATAAGTGAGATCATGTGATACTTGTCTTTCTCTGATTGGCTTATTTCACTTAGCATAATACTCTCCAGGTCTCTCCATGTTGTCTCAAAGGGTAAGAGATTTTTTTATAGCTGCATAGTATTCCATTGTGTAAATGTACCACAATTTTTTTTATCCACTCATCTACTGATGGGCACTTGGGTTGTTTCCAGATCTTAGCTATTGTAAATAGTGCTGCTATGAACATAGGCGTGCATATATTCTTTCTTATTGGTGTTTCAGGATTCTTAGGATAGGAATCTGAGTTTTTAATAAGCTCCCTCATTACTCTGTATAATGTCAGTTGTTGGCAGGATTCATTCATTTATTCAGCTGACATTATTGTGGACCTAGCATGTGCCAGCCACCGTCCCAGATACAAAACAGAACATATTCCATGTGTTGTATTCCAGTGACGGGTGGCAGACTACAGACAGATGAGTAAAACGTGTGGTATGTCAAATGGTGATGAGTGAAATGGTGAGAAGCAAAGCTGGGAAGGGAGGATGTGGCCCGGGTCCCAGTGCCCACCCCGCCTCTGTCCTGCCGGTGGCTGCAGCTGTGGCCGTGACCTCAGTACTGACCGCGGCGTGGGGTGGAGAGACAAGCGCCTATGACAGCACGCAGTGACTCTGGGCTGAGCCATGTCACCTGAGAGGTGGCAAGACCAGGTCACAGTTACTGTTCAGGGTCTGTGCATCCGTCACCTGTGTTCTCACTCAGCTCTGTCCCCACCTAACCTGACTACTTGGGAAGGACACGCTGCCTCCTTCGCGTTTCCTTTGTCTTTAAGGCGAGGGCTGAGCGGGATCAGGGCTCTCCATCCGGGGCCACTGCGCTGTGGGGCGTCGGGAAGGTAGTAATGAAGGTCCAGGCATTGATGTCCTTATCTAGACAACTTAATAATAGATCTATGTGGGAATACCACTTCACAGACGTACCCAAATGTCAATTTTCTGCTTTAGGCTAGAATTTTACTAATTCACTGTGGTAATATGGTTTATCTCAAGCTGACCATAAACCTTGGTTGGCAGTTAAGCATAGCTTTTACTAATATATTTATTAAAACTTAATTTATTATTAATAATTATTAGTTAAAACTGGTTGTGAATTGATTATTAAGTAATAATTAACTGGTGATTAGTGATTAGTTAATACATAGTTCTGTAGAGAAAGCTATTTCAAAAGGAATGAAAAAGTAATAAAGCTGTCGGTCTAACAGTGTCTTTGGTTGTGAAAAGGCAGGGAGTCACCAAACCAGATCATCCTCAATAAATTATTCCTTCTGTTAGCAAGACGAGGAGACCTTGGTTCTTCTTATCTTTACGAAGGGGGGATTTCAATCAAGAGACAAAGTGCAGCAGAGCAATCCAGAATTAAATTGGCCGCAACAAAATCACACTTAGGACAGCGAACCGAGGAAGGGCAGACGAGAAGCCCCAGGACAGCCTGGGCGGGGCCGCTTTGGCTCCCTGGGAGTCAGAGAAAAGGGGGCCTTGGAGACAGGGTCAGGGGGTTAGCCCCAGACACGAGCTGCCGCTGCCCGCTGCTGCCCGTTGCTTCCCTGGTTGCAAGTCTCATGAGGTCCCCTAGAGGGAAGAAGGGGAAGGGAATGGCGCTGGCGTGCCCCCTCCCCCAGCACGCGTGGGGTCCTTTGTGCTGAGGGTGTTTGCCTCTCTTGCAGGTGGACGTCTTAGGGGAGGTCTCAGGGGAGGGTCTTACTAGAATATTCATCAGCTTTCTAGGTGTGCTCTTTCAGGGTCGTGGCCTCCACTGATTGGTCGGTGCCAGCGCAGGGGGTCATTAGTCAGTGCAGCTGGTCCGGAGGCAGCCACAGCGTCACTTGTCTGGTTTTGCTGCTTTTCTGTGCCTGGAGCTGAAATAGAACTGAGGCCTAGATGTTATCTTTAAAAGGAAAAGGTCAGGGGGTCTAAACCGCATGATTAGCGATGTGAAAAGTCAGCGGGGTCCAAACAGCATGACCAGGGATATGCTAGGGGCGGAGAGGTTACCCTCGGGGGAGGTCCTTGTTTTCCCTGTTTTGCCCCTAGCTAGGCATCGGAGCTTGGCAGAGATAATGAGGATACCTTAGCACAGAGGGAGGGAGTTTGTACAGGCGCCCGTCACCCTGTGTACGCAGATCCCTGTGGGCGTCACAGTCTGCCTGTGCCCGTGGCAAGGGCAGCTGCCAAGAAAACTGGGAGCCAGGATCGCCTCACAAAACAAGGGTTCTGAGAAGCTCACTGGAGGGGAGGGTGTTTGCAGTGATCATGTGTGGGAAATCCAGGGAGAAAGCCAAGGATGGAGGACACCCCAGTAGTTCATCTAGACCCAACCTCCTCCCACTGTCTCCAAAGGCCCAGGCCTGGTCCTCCCCGTTCTGGGTGGACTCAACCTGAGGCAGGCCCAGCTCCAGGCCTCCTGAGGTCACCACATCCTCTCCACTTCAGGGATAGAGCTGAAGCCATTTCCTTTATGAGAGGGGAAGGGTCACCACCCAGCCAGTGGGAAGGAGCTCTGGGTCACATACCCGCACAGACTTCCTGTAAAGTGCCCCCTGGGGAGTCCCCAAGCCATGTCGCTTCTCCTGAGCAGTACCCCCAGCCCATTCTCTGCAACTAAGCTGCAGAAACCAGTCAGTGGTGTAGATTACCCCTGAGTTTACTGATGCTCTAGTGTTACTCAGGATGCAAAGGCAAACACGGTGTTAAAAAGGACTTTAGAACTTGGGGGAGAGTTACTGGCTGGTCGTGGTTCCCTAGGGCCTAGAAGACCCACAAAGCTTCTCAAGTGTTACTCTTGAATATGCGGATTGGTACACAAATTTTAGAGGGTGATTTGGAAATGCATGTCAAAGACCTAAAAAATGTTAATTCCTGAAAGGTGGAAAGAACTCAAATGCATGCCCATGGTAAATGGATAAACAAAATGTGGTCTATAGATACATGGGAATGTTATTCAGCCTGAGAAAGGAAGGACATTCTGACACATGCTACAACATGGTTGAATCTTAAAGACACGCTAAGTGAACTAAGCCAGTCACAAGAGGATAAGTCCTGTATGATTCATTTTTTGTACGAGGTGCCTAGCATAGGCAAATTTAGAGAGAAAGAATGGTGGTTACCAGGGGCTGGGGAGAGAGGAGAATGGAGTGTTTGATGGGTACAGAGTTTCAGTTTGGGATGATGAGAACGTTATGGAGATGGGTAGTGGTGATGGTTGTTACACAACAGTGTGAATGTATTTACTTAATGCCACTGAAGTATATACTTAAAAATAGTTAAAATAGTAAAATTTGTTATATATATATATATGTGTGTGTGTGTGTGTGTGTGTGTGTATTTACCACCAAAAAAATAATGTGCATAGCCTCTGACCCACCAATTCTCCTAATGAATTTTTTCTAAGGAGCAAATTAGATTAGGGCACAGGATGTGGGTGAAGGTCTGCATCATATAAGTTTTTTCAGGAAGCAACAGGAAAGGCAAAGGAGGTGCTCACAAAATAAACTAGGATGCCTAAAGTGGAATACTATACAGCCAGTAAAATGACAACACAGAGATGTATTTACTGATATCAAAAGAGGTTCATGGTATACATTTTAAAATGGCTATCAAGTAATACATAATAGGTTCTCATTTTTTCCAAAAAAAGAAATATATATATTTATGTGTTTATAAGAAATTGGAAGGATATATGACACCTTTTCCTTTCTTTCTCTTTGTACTGTCTGTTTTTCTACAAAGTATTGTGAATTACTTGAGAGACATTATAATGTAGTAACTAAGAGCACAGACTCAAGAGCAAACCACTTGGGTTTGTGCCTCAGTTTTCTCATCTGTGTCTCAACATTTGAATCTTTAAAGTGGCCTCAGTTTTTTCATCTGTAGAGTGGACATAACAGTAGTCCCTACCCCATGGCAGGTTGTTGTGAGAGGATTTTGATGTTGGTGAAGCATTTAGAAGAGTGTCTTACACACAGTAAGCACTGAATAAATACTGTTATTGTTGTGCAATAAACAATAATCCATCTGCCCATGGGTACACTTCTGAGGTGAGGTTTGTATCTTTATGACTGACGTGGGTACTGTGGGCTTAGGGTTGCCTTCAAATCCACACATATGTAATTTGCTGGATGTCTTTCAGGCCCAGCTTCCTGTCAGGGCCTCTTGACAGGGCCTGATCACCTGGCCAGGTGACACCCCAGTTCCTGAGAGTTGGGCTGAGCAGAGGAACAGTCTCTCCACTGACAGCCCAGTTCAGAGCAGAGCCTGGTGGAGGGAAAAAAAATCCCTCTGAAAATTATTAGAGGGAAAATAATTTTTCCAAGGTGTTTTTGTTTGTTTGTTTTTTCTCTAAAATGTAACAAGTGTGATAATTTAATAAGCATATCAAATTATACAGAGCACATGTTTTTGTTCCAAACAAAATAAATCGACTAGGTTTGTGAAGCATACTGAGCAAATAAATAGCGCATACATTAGGATTTCCACTGAAATTTCCCTTCAAAGATCTTTCCTGTCCCGAGTAAGGTTCAGACTGGAAAATTTCTGCCTGTCCCTGGGCACAGACAGGAGGAAGCTGACTGGTGCCCCTGGGAGGTGTGAGGAGGAAGAAGACCGCTGGGGGTTAGAGCACAGGTCTCTGGGGAGGCCTAGGATGAAAGACCCAGCTCCTGCCTCCCCTTCCTCTTCAGGAGCCTTCTTCATCCCCTACTTCATCTTCTTCTTCACCTGCGGCATCCCGGTGTTCTTCCTGGAGGTGGCATTGGGCCAATACACCAGCCAAGGGAGTGTCACAGCCTGGAGGAAGATCTGCCCCCTTCTCCAGGGTGAGTGTTCCCCCTCGCCTGCCTCCCCACAGGCCACCAGCCTGCCTCTATCCTATCTGCTCACTGCCTGTCATTCATCCACTCTCATCCCGTGCTAAGGGCAGTGGGGGACACAGGAAGTATAATCAGGCTTATAAACCCTGAGGAAGAAGGCACTCCTCAAGGAAGTCAATACAAGGTCACAAGTGAAAAATCAGGACCAGAGCCTTGCCAGTGGGGGACCCTGAAGCTTCCTCTTCACCAGCTTCATGGCAAACGTGCCCCTGTGTACATGGCATGGTCCCAGACATGCCTCCAAAGCATATAACAATAGTGATGATGATGACGATGTGTAACATCTGCTGAGCCCTACAGTGTGTCTGGGTTCCTGCCAGCACTTTCCATGTAGTTCCTCATCTAATTCTCCAGTAATAACTCTAGTCACCTCATTCTGTAGATGCGAAAATGAGGCCATTTGCTAAGGACTTGAAACCAGTACTACCCGAGCTGAAGCTTCATGCTCTTTCCTGTGTTAGGGGTGATGTTAGAGATAGCTCCTGTCCTCTCCATGCATCTGTTGGCACGGATGTGAGCAGCTCAGGGTGTCCTAAAGGTGATTGGGTCAGTCCCCTGGGGGCCAGTGGGAAAGAAACCCAAGGGATCTCCTTGTCACTGAGTCTCCTTGAATATTTGAGATGGTCAGCCCCTAAGGGAGCCCCTCCGGGACTAGGTTACCTAGGGTTGCTGCCCAGCTTATTAGGCTGGACAGAGTGGGCACAGTGGGGACACTGGCTCCTGAGCAGGCTGGGAACCTGACCACTAATTGTGGTAGTAGGGGGTTATGAAGAGGGGTGGGGCAAGGCTAGCCTGGTACCGATGCCCCCTGCAGGGGCAGCAGTGCGGGGGACTGGGGCAGGGTGGAGCTTGGCCCACCCGGGTTTCTGCTCCAGAGTCCTGGGTGCTCCAGGAGCCGGTGCCTTCAGCCAGAGCATGCTATACCGGTGTTCTGCTCCGGACCCCGCAGTAGCCTAATTCCCACTCAGCAGGGCTCTACCCCCAGGGCCAAGCAAGCTCATGGGTGGAACAAGCTGGACTGGCCTCTCGGGCACACAGGCACTAGTTTGGGGGGAGCGGCGCCATGGACAGGGCGAGCAAACCCCGCACTGGGTGCGGATTGGGGGAAGACACTGCCGCTCCCTCATTTTCCCAACTGCAGAGACCCCCAAGGCAGAGTCCCAGGGTGAGGCTCACTCAAGTTGTGCGCACCTGTGCTGGTGGCACGTCCCGGCTGCTCACTACTGCCCTCTACAGGGCTAACTGCCCCACCCGTCCACCCTCCCAGGGAGCCTGTCGCACAGGCCAGGCACCGAGGAAACACTCCCCTCTGCTCACCCACAGCCGCCTCCTCCCTCAGCTTATACGCAGGCGCACCTCCTCCCCCACCTCCCCACCCCCGAGACGGGCGAGCCCCTGCCAGCCCGCACGGGCCTCCCAGCGGTGGCGCACGGTCCTGCGGGCGGCGCTGGGAGCGCAGTGGCTGCCTGTTGGTGTGTGGGTCCCTGCGCTCTGAGCCCCCTGCCTGGCGGCTGCCAGCTCCCGGGGGACCCCGCGCCATCGGGAGCCTCGCCACGTCCCCTCCGGGGGCCCAACCCGAGGCTCTTCCACCCGCTGCCAACAGGCCTGGGTGCTCCTCGAGACCCCTCGAGACCCCACGCAGGAACCTTCCAGTCTCCGGCAGAGATCGCCAGGCCGACGGGGACAGTCTGGGCGGGCTCGCCAGGCCGGGTCGGCGCCAAGGCGCGTTGCAGACAGTCAGAGTTGACGGTTCCACCAGCCCGAGGGCTGTCTGGGGTTACCTTCCTCGCTAACTAGTTCTGGAGCTCGACTTCCTCCTGGAGGGGCGGCAGGACCAGTAGCAGTTCCCCTCCGGCCTGGACCCCCGCCCCACTCCTGCCCCGCTGGCTGGCACGCCTAAGACTGACAGCCGCCACGCGACACGCTACTTTTAACCCGACTGTGGCCAAGATCCCTCTTACAGGGGAGCAGGGTGGGTGGGTGACTCTCCTGCCTTGCCCCCTCCCACCCCAGGCCTGTCAGCCCAGGAGGCAGACTGCGCCCTAAGCCCCCACTGCAGCTGCGTGTTCCAACAGCGGGCTAAGCCTCTGCCCACTCGTGCCCCCTTGGGGGCGGGGGATGACTCTTAGGCTGAGCAGGCCCCACAGGTCTGGACAGCTCTCTTCCTTGCTGCTTTCTTCTGCTTTTGGCTCTTATTTTGAGCCTTATTTTGAGACTGATTCTTACCAAATTTTCCATACTTACTCCTGTGTCCTTCCCGCCTTTTAAAAATTGTCCAAGTAATGCACGATTGTAGGAGAAAAACTAGAAAATACAGATAGACAAAAAGAAAATAAAACCTATAAGATGTGAACTCAAATCCTATCATTTAGAGCAGCGATTTTCAACAGGTGCGCCACAAGGGTTTTTAAAACATGCCTACCTGACTACTTAGTGGGGGCAATGACCTTTTCCCCCTGTGACTGTCAAAAAATGACAACAGCCAGCACAATAGCCGTTGGGTGTGAATGAATCAAAATTGTATCTATTTTGTTCTGGCTGGTTTAGGCCAGCAGTTAGAACATAGACCTAAGCACGAAGGGTCTTGGGTTCAATTCCTGGTCAAGGGCACTAACTGGGTTACAGGTTCCAAATAATCCATCTCTCTCTCTCTCTCTCTCTCTCTCTCTCTCTCTTTCTCTCTCTCTCTTCCTCCCTACCTTCCTTCAACTCTACCTAAAAATCAGTGGAAAAATATTTTCGAGTGAGGATTAACAACAACAAAAAATTACTCCTATTTTTTGGGTCAGATCAGCAAAAAATACATTTATTGGTGTGCTGTAGAATCTTAGTAATTAGTTTATGTGTGCATGAGATGAAAAAGGTTGGAAATTGCTGACCTACAGAACCACTTATTAACTTTTAGATGCTGATTCTTCCAGAATTTTTCTCATGAAAAAAAAAAAAAAAAGATATACATTCAAATATATGTTATAAAAATGGGCATATGCATAGGATAGTGTTCTATAACCTGCTTTTCTTACTCAGAAAAATAGTCTGTAAATGGCTTCTCAGGCCAATAAGTAAATTCTGGTGGTTCTTTTTGGAGTAGCACCCAGTATCCTAAGCACAACTGGCATGTTCTAGGTGACTTTTTTGTGCTGACATTGACCTCTTGGATTCTCTTTTGCTTCCTGCCCCTCCCCCACTCCGGAAGGCATTGGTTTGGCATCTGTGGTCATCGAGTCCTATTTGAATGTCTACTACATCATCATCCTCGCCTGGGCCCTCTTCTATCTGTTCAGCTCCTTTACCTCTCAGCTGCCCTGGACGACCTGTACCAACACCTGGAACACAGGTATCCATCATTTCAGCTCCTGGGATATGGGCTCTCTCTGGGGGCTGGGTTGTGGTAGCCGGAACAAGAGCAGTGTGAGGCACATGGGGACGGGGGCTGGTCCCATGAACCACCTGAGCAGCCAACTCCTGACACTCTGAAGGTGGGGGCTCCAAAGGAAGCTCTTAGGACCTGGAATGATGGCACCCACCAAGCCACAAGACCAGAGGGTCAGTTACTAGGGTGTGAGGACATGTCTTCCTATTTCATTCCTAGCTAATGGACACTCACCTTATTCCCAACAGAGCATTGCATGGACTTTCTGAACCACTCAGGAGCCAGCACAGTGGCGCCCTCTGAGAATTTTACCTCGCCTGTCATGGAATTCTGGGAGTAGGTGCTGGGCCTGGTTGCCACAAGCCAGGGGGCCTCAAGCAGAGGAAATTTGGATGTCTGAGGCCTGGGACTTGGGGTGCAAGTTTAAGGCTCTCTGTGCATGCTTTCCAGCACTTACCCCCCCACATCACTGAGATGAGGGGACACTCCTATCTACCGACAGTTGTTCACCTACATCTCTCAAATCCACCCATGTTCACCCAGACTCACACATTTATCCATGTCAGCCGGCATTCTCACACATGCCTCCCTCCACCCTCACATTCCCTCACCCACACACCCACCAAGACTCACGCATCTACCCACACATGTCCATTAGTGTACTGGAAACAGTCTAGACCAGCTTAGGAGAGCTGATTGTACACATCCCGTCCCAACTTCATGTTCAGTCACATTGGTCAAGGTGGGAGTATTTGCACCACAGGAATTGGCAAACCCTGCACGCACACATTAACCTTCCCACATGACCACGTGTGCCCTTCACACCACCTGTGTCCAAACATGTCCACCTACACTTGCACACATTTCCATCACCCCCATACACATCTTTAGACACTATCACAACTCAACCCCTCCATTTGACACCCACACACTTGTTCATCAACCTGCCTGTATAAATATTTACTCTTCATGTACTCATTTATACATTCCTTGCCTCACCTCTCCCTTTCTCTCTTTCTTTCTCTCTCCAACAGAGAGATCTGAATGAGTTAGAAAGACAAAGATACCTATGGTATTACGTGATTTGGTCTTCTAACAGCCAGGGGCATACAGACAACAGGTGGGAACATGGCAGGGCCATGGGAAGGTAGAGTGGGTGGGGGCAGGGGAAGCCTGAAATATGAGATCTGTGGGGTCAGCTCTAAGAATCAGGAGACTTGATGACAGAGGCAAGTTGTCCCCTTTAGCCTTCTCCTGGTTATTTATTTTTTCCACCCATTAGGAGGCGTGTTCTGGGCATCACTGCAGGCATCCACGACCTGGGGGCCCTGCGCTGGGAGCTGGCCCTGTGCCTCCTGCTTGCCTGGGTCATCTGCTACTTCTGCATCTGGAAGGGGGTCAAGACTACAGGCAAGGTGAGGTGTTCTGATTCCTGTAAGCTCTCTGTGGCCCCCAGAACCCTCAGAGACACTTCCAGTGTCTCTCTGGAGAACCGAAGGAAAGTGTAGTCTAAGGGAGAGGCCCAAGGCAGAATTTAGCTCAGTGCAAGGAAAGGCTTCCTTTTTTGATATGATTTTAAAAGACCTGTTTACGTAAGTAATTTACAGAGCAAAATAAGGAACATAAAAGTTCCACTGTCAGAGCTAAACACTGTACAAGCCATCAGCACGATGGCAGGTTGGATCTGCTAATCCCACCGATTAATGTTTTGCTGTGCTGCCTTCTAGTTTCCTGTGTGTGTGTGTGTGTGTGTGTGTGTGTGTGTGTAGCTGTATTTGTTATGAGTGTATCTTACATGGTTAGGATCAGACACTTTTTTAAAATCCTCACCTGAGGATATGTTTTTATTGATTTTAGAGAGAGGGGGAAAAGAGGAGGAGAGAGAGAGAGAGATGAAAGAGAAGCATCGATTGGTTGCCTCCTGTATACACCCCGACTGGGGATTAAATTACAACCCGGGGATGTGCTCTGACTGGGAATCGAACCATGACCTTAATGACCTTATGGTGCACCAGACAATGCTCCAACCAACTGAGCTACATTGTCCATGGCTTGCTTTTCGTATTTAACAGCAAACACATCAAGACAGTGTTTAGCTTGAACTAGCACACAGAAGTGTCTGTGAGGTGGTGAGTTTCCAGTCACCAAAGGGGTTGTAGCCAAGAATGGACAATGGGGCAGAGAAAGTTCAGCTTTGAGCATTATTTCCAACTCAGAGAAGCTGAGGCCGATATTTCATGCTTTTTAAAGCCAGGAATAGACAGGTACTGACGTATCTGAGCCGCCTGCTCCTACAGCCCCCTCCCCAGTCCAAGGGCTGTTGAAATAGTAACAATGGTGATAGTAATGACAAAAATAGTCATAGTAATAATAATAACAAAGATAGTACCACCACCCCAGGTAGGGACTGAGCCTGGTCGGGGCAGACTGGATTTCCCTGAGTGTCCCCAGTATACCAGGCTCAGGCCACTGCTGGCTCCCAACCTTAAGCCTGGAAAAATACAATCTCAGTTTCCTCACAGATCTGTGCAGATCTGCCCCACCCCCCTCCTCCTGGTGAAGGGAGGCCCACCCTCTCCAGGCGACATGGGGAGAACAGCCCCAGGGGACATGGGGAGAATGGCCAGAATGGGGTTAAGGGACACCAGATTCTGGATTTAGAAATAGTCTTTGAAATGTTACAGCTGGACACTTGTACCCCTCCCTGCCCTTCCTCCTGCCCCCTTGCCCTGTGGATGTGTATCTCACACTCTGCTGGGGGGGCCCAAGACCCACTGGAACATGCAAAGTATGGTGCAGAAAGTTTTGTGTGCCTCTCAGAAGACATTGGACACTGAGCAAGGTGTAGCTTGTGCCTCGTGGGGAGGGGGACAGGAAGACCACTGCAGATTTCCGGTCACCTCCTGGCTGCTCTGACAGCACCAGAGTGACTCGGACCTGCTCTCCCTCCAGGTTGTTTATTTCACAGCCACATTCCCCTACCTGATGCTGATCATCCTGCTGATTCGAGGCATCACGCTCCCTGGAGCCTACGAGGGCATCATCTATTACCTGAAGCCGGATCTGTCTCGCCTGAAGGACCCCCAGGTAGGAATTCCCCCGAATGTCTCTCCCCCCAAACCAGATCTGTACTTCTGAAAATCATTGATTTCTTGCCTCTTGGTTTAAAGACAACAGATGTCCACTGGAGAAAAATTAATATGGAAAATATTACGAAAAAGGAAATAAAAACCCACAACTCAGCTACAACTTCTGTTAACATTTTAGTGTATTTCCTTCCAACGTTTTTTCCTAGCTCAATGGTGTGTGTGTGTGTAACATAGTTCAGATAATTATATATAGAGATATATCTTTTTTCCCTTAAATTATATTGTAAGCATTTTGCATGTTATCACATTCATTTGTAAATGCCATTTTTATTTTATTTTTTAAAATATTTTTTCTTTATTGATTTTTAGAGAGAGAGAAAGGGAGAGGGAGAGAGAGATAGGAACATCGATGAGAGAGAACATCGATTGGCCACCTCCTGCATGCCCCCCACTGGGGATCGGGCCCACAACCTGGGCATGTGCCCTGACCGAGAATCAAACCGGCGACCTCTTGGTGCATGGATTGACACTCAACCACTGAGCCACACTGGCTGGACTGTAAATACCATTTTAAACACTTGCATAATATTTCCTCCACCCATCATCCATCCATTCATTCATTCAGCCGTAATGTACTGAGCCCCACTACGAGGCAGGGGGAGCCATAGTGCTGTGTGGGGGGCACACACACCAGGCACCCTGCCTCCGAGTGCTCCAACCTGGGCAGGGCATCATTTATTAAATCCTTCCCTGCAGGGCCTGAGAGATTCAATTATAATTTATTTTAATCTTTAATAATTTGATAGGTCAAAATAATATCATGTTGTTGGTTTAATTCAATTTTTTTCACTACTATGAGGTTGGACATTTTCCCACATGTTTATCAACCACCTATATTTCCTGCTCTAGGACTTGTCTGAGCACATTCTTTGCTTCCACTTTCCCCACCCCCCCAAGAGTCCTGGTGTTGTTCTTTATATTCCATGGCGTGAGCCCTGTGCCCAGCGTGGCTGCCTAAGGCACACTCTGCTTGTTGAGTGAGACCACATGGCTCTCAGCTCCCCCTGTGGCGGCCTCACCTGCTCTGGGTGCAGCCACGGCCAGAGGCTCCGCCTGAGACACTCAGGTAGCACGCGCTTGCTTGATGCTGACTTAGTGCCCACGGAACCAAGTTAGAAACGGGCCCTGCCTGCAAGAGGAGGACCTGTTAACGAAGAGGTGGGATATGAGTGACTCTCAGGAAATACTGAGCAGGCCCGCTGGGCTCCCTCACCGCTTTCTTGGGGCTCCTGTAGGTGTGGATGGACGCGGGCACGCAAATCTTCTTCTCCTTCGCCATCTGTCAGGGGTGCCTGACAGCCCTGGGCAGCTACAACAAGTACCACAACAACTGCTACAGGTAGGGGCATGGGCAGGGGCCTGGGGACCTGCCAGCCTCTGTTCGAGGAGGGCGGGTCCTGGCAGTGGGCCCAGGCCTTCCTCCTTCATTCCCAGGGAGTTGCAGGGTATATGGAATTGACATTCTGGGTCCCTGAATGTCCTTCTCACCTCCCTTCCCTCTCACCTTCGGAAACCCCACCTTCGTCTTCTTCCCATTCTCTCTCCCTTTTCTCCCTCCTCTTTACACTCTTCCTGACTTCTGACCTCCCATTGGATAATGGGTTTCATTCTCCCTTTTCCCTTCTGTTTTATCTGCATTCACCCCACCTGCAGGGACTGCATCGCCCTCTGCTTCCTGAACAGTGCCACCAGCTTTGTGGCCGGGTTTGTGGTCTTCTCCATCCTGGGCTTCATGTCCCAAGAGCAGGCCGTGCCCATCTCTGAGGTGGCGGAGTCAGGTAGGTGGCACATTGCTGTCTGGGTCCTGAGGGGAAGGAAGATCAGAGGACACAGATCCTCCTACAGGAAAGCAGGGGCCTCTGACCCTTCTAGCATCAGAGGCAAAGCTTTGCACAGAGCGGGGCCTCCATAAACATGGGAGGGAGGGGGGAGGGGCGGACGGGTGGTTGGACACACAGTTGCATGCATGGATGGGGAAATGGGTGGGTGAATGGTCAGAACCTGGGAAGAGCAGAATGAAATAACCCTGCCCTCTTGAACCACCCCCACTACACACACACACACACACACTCATGCATGTACACACACTCACATGTACACACACACTCATGCACATGCACACTCATGCACACACACGCTCATCACAAACTGCCGTGCACACGCATACTCACCTGCGCGCACACACAGTGCCTCTGGAGAGGGCCCTTCCCTGTGGGCAGAGAGAGCCCTGGACTCACTGACCGTGCTGTGTCCCGCAGGTCCCGGTCTGGCCTTCATCGCATTCCCTAAGGCTGTGACTATGATGCCCTTATCCCAGCTGTGGTCCTGCCTTTTCTTCATCATGCTCATCTTCCTAGGGCTGGACAGCCAGGTTCGTCACCCAGCCCGGCCCTGCCTGGCCCTGCCCCGGGGACCGTCTTCAGCTCCTACATTTCCTGGCCTTACCTTCCCTCCAGCTCCCTTTCTCCTGACTATTCATTCCAAGGCCCTTTCCGCTGTCCAGGACTTGTCCTTGGGGTTAGTTGGTTGACCCCAGGTCTCAAGACCTTCTTTGGTGAAGGGGCCACTTGCTTTGTTCCCTACACTGACCCTCCCCGTCCATGGATGTTCCCTCCCAAGGGTCCCCCCAGCCTCCTTCCAGCTGCTTGGCTCAGGCTGCCCACTCTGCCCCTGTAGCCTTGGGAACAGAGCATACCCCCCGCGCTCACTGCTGGGACCCTCTTCTGTGGAGGCCAAGGGCAGAGCTGCCTCACCCCTGGCCACCCCGTTTCTGCCCTGCACCCCTGTGCGTCGGCGTGGGGGAGTGGCGGGCAGGAGGCCAGGCAAGGCTGTGCCGGGAGGCCGGGGGCAGGTGGCCCCTCTCACCTCAGCTTTCCTCCTGGCCCCCAGTTTGTCTGTGTGGAGTGCCTCGTGACGGCCTCCGTGGACATGTTCCCCAGGCAGCTCCGGAGGAGTGGGCGGCGAGAGCTCCTCATCCTGGCCATTTCTGTCCTGTGCTACCTGATAGGACTCCTCCTGGTCACTGAGGTGAGCAGGGGCAGCGGCCTGCGGGCTGGGCTCCGGGGGAGGGAGCCATGGGGGACACCACTGACCCTTCTTAGAGCCGCACTTTCTCATCTGCTAAGCAGGGGTGTGAGGTTGTGGGGAGCACACAGCAGAACCCACCAGTGTTCGTCAGCCCTCTTTTGGTTTCAGGTGACAGAAGCCAAACGCAAGCTGGCTTCAGCAGAACGGGGCGTTTTTTCTTCTAGGTATGGTTGGACCCAGCTGCTCTGAGGACATGTCAGAAATGCCCCTCTCTATTTTCTGGGTCTCTTTTCCTCTAGGGACTTCATTCTTTTTGTTTGTTTGTTTTGTTTTGTTAAAAATAACCAGAGGATATTTTTTCCATTGATTTTTAGAGAGAGTGAGAGGTGAGGGGGGAGAGAGAGAGAGAAACATTGGTGTGAGAGAGAAATTGACTGGTTGCCTCCCGCATGTGTCCCAACTGGGTTTGGGGGTCGAACCTACAACCCAGGTATGTGCCCTTGGCTAGGAATCAAACTCACGACCCATTAGTGTATAGGCCGATGCTCTAACCACTGAATCACACCAGCCAGGGCTAGTGACTTCACTCTTAGCCAGATTGCCCTCTGGGTATTAAACACGGCTTATCTTCTGCTACCCAACCAACCCCACAGGAACGAGAGCACCCTTTTCCTGAGAGCATGGCCAGAGTCCAGCCGTGACCCTCAGGCCTGGAGCGGGGAGAGCAATGCTGGGCAGACCAAACAGTGCATGTCCACCTCGGTCCCCAGTGTCCTTGCAGATGTTAGAATTGCTATCCTGATGTTAAATGAGAGGTCAGAAGGCAAGGAGAGGTAGGGCAGACTCCTCTTAGATGCAAGGAATAATTCCCATGGGCTGGGTAGGGTGACACCAGGTGGATGTTTGCCCTGTTGCTCATGGTGCAGCGTGTCCCCTGCCCCCACTGGCCAAGGCCTTAGCTCCCTGCCCTTTTCCACAGGGCGGGATGTATATCTTCCAGCTGTTTGATTATTACGCCTCCAGCGGCATATGCCTGCTCTTCCTTGCAATGTCTGAAGTCATCTGCATCAGCTGGGTGTATGGTAAGTGGGGTTGGGGGAGAAGCCTCTGGTACCCAGATGAGGGGGGACTTGCCCAGGATTGGAGACAGGGTGTGCTAACCTCTGGTTTCTATATGTTTTTGTATTGCTGTCCTGGTTCTTTTTTTTAAATAATATTTTTATTTTATTTATTTATTTATTTTCTTTAGAGAGAGAGGAAGGGAGAGGGGAGGAGAGAGAGAGAGAGAGAGAGAGAGAGAGAGAGAGAGAGACGTCAATGTGAGAGCAAAACATCGATCAGCTGCCTCCTACATGCCCCCTACCAGGGATCAGGGATCCAGCTCCCAACCCGGGCATGTGTCCTGACCGGGAATGGAACTGGCAACTTTTCAGTGCATGGGATGACGCTCAACTAACTGAGCCACACAGGCCAGGCCTGGTTCTTTTCAATTGGGACATTTATCCATCACTGGGAACTCGGGCGTTTTTCATTATGCGGGAAGGGCAGGGATAACGACAACGCTGAGTTCCTTGAGTGGTGAATGTCATTATAAATAACAGTGGATGGTTTGGTGGTTCTTCCATACAGAGGCTGCCAGAGGTCCTTCCCCAGGGGGAACTGTAGTTAAAAGGGACCTTCAGGGCCTCTTATTTTGATCCCCTGCAGACCCCCACAGTCCCTTTTACAGTCATCGCCCAGACTTTGATTACTTCCATGAACAGGAGAGTCAGTCCTGTGTTTTTGACCTTGTCCATTGTGACTGTTGTGCATTTCCTTCTTACACTGAGGTGAGCTGTGCCTTCCATTGACTTCTTCCCACACCCTGGCCCCTCGGCTCTGAGATAACTAACCAGCAGTGCTGGGTGCTGTCCTAGCCTCACTGTTATTGTGCCTGATGACCACAGGGAGGAACCTGTAGTTACTGAGCCAACCACCGCTGCATGCAACACTTGCTACCTCCCAATCTGTGCAACAACCCTCACAGGGAGAAAGTGAGGCTCAGAGAGGTTATGGCTCTTTCCTGAGCTCACACAGCTAGTAAGCTGGTCCATTTCCTCTGATGTATTGGTTCCCCAGGTCTGTCTGGCTCCACTGCACCAGGTTGGGGGGACACATTGCCAATGTCACAAGGCTCAAGGCAGAAAGGGTAAGGGATGTCATGTACTGGGGCCTTGGGACAAGCTATGAGTTGGAAAGTTTTTATTTTGCTACCATCAGCCTTCCTGTTTAGTGGCCTTTCTACTCCTTGGAGATGCCCCTCTCCCTTCTTGTTCAAGCATCTGATGTCTTCCTGATTGTCCCTACTCCTTTTCAAAGCTTGTTCTCAGAGAGGGCCTGATGAACGCGACCACAGTGAGGTGTACACATAGCTGATGAGTCTCAGTATGCTACACCTACTCACCAGTATCTGGTTTTTCACTGGGAAGAAATTTACAAGCCAAAGGAATGACTCCTTAGTGATGGCGTTTCCTGCCTTAGTGACCAGAGGGAAGGTGTTTTTTTGATGAGGGGAGGCTAGAAGGGTCTTCGAAGTGTCTTTACCAATCAGGGCTCTTCACTTCTTAGAATATGGAGCCAAGGTGAAAATCTGAGGACATTAAACAAAATCAAGCAAAACCAGTCAATGTTTCCAAGCACACACATCAACCCCTCACCGGGCTTCACTGAGAATGCAGAAGGGTTCCTCTGGAGTCTAGTAGTCAGGCCCGCCCCTCCCCTCCCCCGCCCTCCCCTGCCCTCCCCTCCCCTGCCCTCCCTTCCCCCTCCCCTCCCCTCCCCTCCTCTGCCCTCCCTTCCCCCTCCCTCCCCTCCTGTGCCCTCCCCTCCCGTCCCCTCCCCTCCCGCCCCTCCCCTTCCCTTCCCCTCCCCTCCCGCCCCTCCCCTTCCCTTCCCCTCCCCTCCCGCCCCTCCCCTTCCCTTCCCCTCCCCTCCCTTCCTGTGCCCTCCCCTCCCCTCCCTTCCCTCCCCTGCCCTCCCCTCCTCTCCCTCCCCTTTTCCCTGTAGCAATCTGGCTCTATGGGAGCTTAGCAGGATCTGCTTGACCAGTGGCACGTTTGCTGTTTTGATTGGAAATGGAATTCATTTTTGCTATGCAGATAAACAAGCATCTGTATAGCACTGAGCCCCATTTTAGGCTCACACTCTCCTCTATGGTTAGGACAATGGGGTCTTCATTCCATGACACAGTTCCTGGCTCTGTGCACTGGAAAGTTGGGTGACCCCAGGGCCCCTGGCTTGTTGGTGGCAAGTGCTTCTCCCTCCTCAACTCCTTGCACAGTGTCTGGGGTGCCAGGGACCCATCTCATTCACGGGGGTTGGGGGGGCGGAGCACACAACCAAGTGAGTGCTTCCCAAATACCCATGAGCTGTCCTCGCCCTTCTGTTCTCTCTCTTTCCCCGCTGTGCCTGGGCAGGGGCAGACCGTTTCTATGACAACATTGAGGACATGATTGGCTACCGACCATGGCCCCTGGTAAAGATCTCCTGGCTCTTCCTGACCCCTGGACTTTGCCTGGTATGTGCTCGCCCAGCTACCCCTTTATTCCCTCTTGCCTGCAGCAGGCTCGAGGACAGGAGGGACAGGATGCCTGGGTTCGGGGGCTCTGTCTCTGACTGTCCAGTGGCCGTGGGAGGCCGGTCCATTTCCCCTGATGTATTGGTTCCCCTGGCCTTTCTTTTCTGGGGCTCTCTCTCCATCTGTGTGCTTTACCATCATTATCATCTATTCTAATTCCCGCTCCATCCCTTTCTCAGGGCATCTCCACCCGTCTTCCCGATTTCCCAGTTACTGCTCTCTGTCTGCCTAGAGCTCCGTCTCCCTCCGCTCCTTTATATCTCCTCCTGTCTCATCTTCGCTGTGAGTGATCCTGGGCCCATGATTTGCAGATGGCTCTTACTCTTCCACCTCACAGATATGCCACCGTGTGTTTAACTTGGCCTCTGTCACTGGACATTAAGTAGAGAGGAGGGAGCTTCATGGGCTCTCTGCCTCATCTGTGTCTGCTCCGCCCCGCCTCTTTCTAGGCCACTTTCTTCTTCTCCTTGAGCAAGTACACACCTCTGAAATACAACAACATCTACGTGTACCCTACCTGGGGATACTCCATTGGCTGGTTCCTGGGTCTCTCCTCCATGCTCTGCGTCCCGCTCTTCATCATCATCACCCTCCTGAAGACCCAGGGCTCCTTCAAGAAGGTAGGGGGCTGGGGGAAGTGACGCAGAAGAGAGGGTACTGAGAGCGTGGGGGTTGGGCATCACACTCCAGGGGAGCCCAGCTCTGAGTGTGGGGCAGCCCTTCAGTCTAGTGGAAACTCAGAGAGAGGAAGGGTCTTTGAAGACCAGTCAAATAGTTTCATCTTCAGAAACGTTCAAAAGTCCCAGAGACCTGGACCTTCAGAATCTGACCTCTACAAATCATCTGGGCAGGTTAACCAATGGTAAACTGTCAAAGGGTTAAGGGGAAACTAAGTCACAACATAAATGGGCCCAGACACAGAGGTTTATAGAGCACCGATTCCCTGCTCTCGGGAAATTGATAACTAGCTTTCATGGTTCATTCCACACAGTCTCCTGGCTTACTTCCTTATGGTAACCCTGTCTGGGGAGCCATGTGCGAAGGACTTCCTGTTTAAGTTTGGGACACGCCTTCCTGGAAGGGCATGAGTCAGTGTCCCACAAAGACACTATGTCTATAGAAATCTATCTGGCCTACAAGTAGCAGAAAACTGAACCTGCAATAAGCAAATAGGCTTATTTTTTTCTTGTACATCAAGAAGGTCAGAGACAGGGGTTGTTGACATTTGGTTCAGCTGCTTACAGAGACCATTAGGGACTGCCATCGTGAGCATGTCGTGTCTTCATTATATGCTCATCACCTCATGGTCACAAGAAGGTTGTCATGGCTCCAGTTATCACATAAGCAATCAAGGCAAGAAGAGGGGAAAGATGATACCAAAAGAACTAATAATGATAGTAATGTAGTACTACTCGTAGTAAAAACAATAATAGATACTTATTGAGCACATAATAGTAATGGTTAAAAAAAAAAAAAAAAAGCAATAAGATAGTGAAAATAGGTCCTTATTGATGATTCACCCTGTGCCAGGCACTGTTCTGTGAGGAGTGTACTCTTGTATCCTCATTTTACACGAGGCAGAGAGGGGTTAAATGGGTTGCCTAAGATTGCACCGGTGACAGAGCCAGGAGTGGAACATAGTTCACACTTAAAAAAAAAGTGTTGTTTTAAAAATTGACTTTTAGAGAAAGAGAAATATTGATGAGAGAGAAATATTGATCAGCTGCCTCCTGCATGCCTCCTAACTGGGGATCAAACCTGGAATTGAACCATTTTGGTGCTTAACTAACTGAGCCACACTGGCCAGGGCTAGTTCACACTCTTAATCGCCATGTTATTGCTTCTTCTAACTTCTCAAAATGTTTATCTATTTATTCACTCATATGGTATTGAGCTGCTTCTATGTTCCTGGCTCTGTGCCAGGCCTTAGAGATGCAGATACAAGGTAACATCTTTGCCTCTCCCCAACAACAACCACTCATTCCTTCTTCTCTCCACAGCGCCTACGACAGCTTATCACCCCTGACCCCAGCCTGCCACAGCCTAAGCAACACCTGTATCTGGATGGTGGCACCAGCCAGGACTGTGGGCTCTCCCCAGTGAAGGAGGGACTGATTGTTGGGGAGAAAGAGACCCACTTGTAGGATGTGGCTGAAAGCCAGGTGGCTGCTGGGCCAGGAACCTGGGGCAGGGCCACCATCTCCCCACAATGGACAGACTTCGCCTCTGTCCTCTGCTGAGAATGTCTGCGATGTCTGTGGGCACCCCCAGCGGGGGCAAGACTCCTTCTTCTCCTCTTCTCAGCTGGAGCAGCTCCTCCTGGTGGGCTAGCGATGGTCCCACCCACTGGACTATGCCACGCTGTGAAGTGACTCCCTGTTGGAACACACCATCTTATTTATAAAGAAGGGTGGTCTTTTTGGAGTCCACCATCTGATTATAACATTACATTGTGAAGGACCTCCTGCTGCAGGGATGTTTCCTGTTAGAGTTCACTGTGTTTGTGCATTGGGAAGACATTTGCCAATTGGAATATGTATCATGATCTGATTCAGAGAGCGTGATGAAACACACTGTGTCGGAAGTGGCAACTGAACACACTGCACTGGATTCTAACATTCCAGTAGAGGGTCCTTCACTAGGTGTCCATTCTGGAGCCCGGGGGGAGGGGCCTGGAGAGTCAGCCAGGAGGCACTGTGTGGACTTTCCCAGGAGGCTGTCTCTCCAGGTGTTCCTAGTTCCAGTGCTAGTTCTGTGCTCTTCTTGAAATGTTATTTGTCATCAACTCACAGAGCGTTGACATGGAAAGGGATTTACAGATGATCCCTGGACTTTGCAAATATGTGGCATGTCTGTCCTCTGCCCAAGACAGACATTGCTAATCGATCACCAGTTCTTTCCTACCTCATAATCCTCCCAAATATAGTGCTCCAGGCAGCTCCATTTGCCATCCTGCTTTTGTCCAAACCCCTGACTTCATGGATGAGGACCAAAGAGACAAAGGGACTTTTTCTAGTCCACACAGCTCCTCAGCACCAGAGACACAACTAGAACCTGGTCTCCTGGTTCTCAGGCCAGTTACCTCCCATTACCCCCTCCTGTCTTGATGAACAAGCTTGTATGGATCGCCTGCCCCATGTACTGCCTTCTTCACCTCGCCCCATTTCTGTTCAGTTACTCTGTGTTGGGGTAGGAGGAGAGAGGCCCCTTCTTTGAAGCGGTGAGAGGCTGTCCCTGGATGAGTGCCCCCACCACAGTATTTTCTCTGCCAGCCCCTTCTCATCTGACATGATTTCTTCTCTGGACCCTTCATTCTTGCCACTTTCTATCTCTCCTCCCCCAGCGGAGGCCTTGGAGTCTGCAAGAGTCCTCTGGTCTCAACCAGAGAAGGAGGTGTATGGGTGGGATTCCCCTTTCCCCATGTCCCTACCAGACCACGCAGGTCCTTCCCTGGCCGGAGAAGGCCTTCTGGAGGAGGAAGCAGGGCTTGGATTCCGAGGGAAGGGAGGAGTGAAAGTGGAGGAGGGGTAGGCCACTCAGGATAGTTTTCTATGGCAGGACCTGAGCGCTGGAAGGAAGGAAGTCACCTAGGGAGACTGATGCTTAGGTAGATGTCATCCAGAGCCAACGTCCAGTGGCTAGAGTAAAAAAATCTGTGGTCTGGTCAAGGGGGGTTCCATCTCTGACAGACCCAGGCCATCCTCAGATCACTCACCATCCTTTGTCCATATACATAGGTGCTTCTCAGCTTGTAAGAACAAGTTCATAGGCACACTGGGCACAAGAAGATGTTCGGACTCTTGGGTTCTGGCAGCCCCCTTCTGCACCCCCCTGGACTGCTCCATGCACCTGTGTTCACCTTTCTTGGACTAGTCAGTGGGTCAAGAAGGAGGTACAGGAGGAAGGGATGGAGAGAAACTGCTTCAGTCAGATCACGCTCATCAATGAGACTGGGGAGCTTTGGTTGGGGCAGGCATAGTGCTCTCTGCTGACTCCTGGTGGCCAATAGGAGCAGTGCCTCCCTCCCACCCCCCACACACCTCCTAGGCACCTGTTACAAACAGGAGGAAAGTGCCCTCACCTCTGTCCTCAAGATGGATGGACAAGGCTGAGCAGCTCTCCTTCCCTGTGTAAGTTTCCACCCTCTGCAACCCATATACTTCCCTCATTATTCTCCCCACGGGCCCAGTGGGGCTCCCCAAGAGAGGTAGCTTGCTTTGGGGCAGCCAGCTGCAGGGGTCGTGTGGGTGGCCAGCCAGGCTTCCCAGCTACCTGTCTACCCACAGTGCACAAGCAATATAACCTAGGTTCCGTCAGCCTGGAGAACCGCATTTTCTGTTGCGGGCAGCTCTGCACGTTGGTGGGGCACAAGCTCTCTCCAGCTCACGGGCCGGAATCCATCTCTGTCTCTGCAGACTGTTCACACACACCACTGTCCTCTCTCGTCTTCCTCACCCACATGCATTCACCCCGTTCCCTGGCTTTAGCTCACGGCCCGCCTCAGCATGCTCTGGCACGGGGCCAGCTGGAGCACTCAGTACGGAGCCTCCGTGGCCTGTGGTGCAGGGGATCTGGAGAGGGCTGCTCGGGGCTGGAGGAAACAGGGTGTCAGGGGAGGGACTTCGGCCGACTGCACAGTCATAGGAACCCACTCATGCTGGACCCACAACATGGGTGAGGAGCAGCAGTTTGATCCTTTAAAGTGCCCAGAGCGCTGACACAGGTTGTGTGTGTGTGTGTGTGTGTGTGTGTGTGTGTGTACATGCACCTGGGTTAAGCTGGGGTTGTGTTTTCATCTCATCTCCTAGGCTAAGTTCCACACTGGTGGCCAGAGGCCTCATCTGGCAGCTATGATGTGTTTGGCCAGTATATTAAAACAAAGGTCTTTAGGTGTGTGCCTTTAGGGACTCCCCAGCTCGCTGCAGGCCCCGCACTCCCGGGTACCCAGACCTGACTTTCCACACACTCTCTTCTAGAGGCATTTGAACTCATAACCTGTGCCCTAGGGGAGGGACCGAGAAACTTCGGGCAGGGCGGGGACCAGAACCCTTGCTGAAGCAGCAGGGGAACCGAAGGGCAGTGGTGTCAGGAGTCAGTGCCTCGGAGTTGGGGAGTCAAAGGACAGACGCCAACCCTGCTTGTTCACGTGTGGGCTTCCCACTCGCTAGACCCTGATATTTATGAATCCTGGTCAGTTCTCCCCACCCTCACCAGGCTCTTCTCTCTCCCAAAGAAGGGTGGTGGCCAAGTTTACCCTCAAAGGTAGATCTGAAATGTCAGGCCACAGTGGCCTCCGGTGGTAGAGTGGATGACAAGGCCACAAAGACCTCGTTTGGATTTTCTGATGTTTGGAACCACTGTCCGCCTCCCAACCCCACCAGTTCATCCAGGCGTGCTTAGGAATCACCCCTCCCCCTTAGTTTAGGCAAAAGCATTTAGTCTGACTGTGGCACTCCTCTGTCTGGGAGGCTGAGGCTGTCCCGCTTTTCTGCGCACCCTGAGCTCCTCCTGGGATCGCCCCCACCACCCACTCCCAGGCTGGGCCTCCAGTGCAGCTGGTGTCCTGGGCTTTGTGGCCTCCCGACCGCTCACCTTGGTTCTTCCCTGTGTTCCCCTTGTCGAAGCTGAACCTGGGCTGGGCCTCTCCCTCTTCCCGTCTGCACTGAGAGCCCCTCCTCCATCCAGGGCGTGGGTTTCCGTGCAGGAGCTGGGAGTAGGCTGGGGAATGCTCCTGCCCTCTCTGCCCCCGCCCCCAGGCCAGAGAGCTCAGGGAGCTGGAGAGGGCCTTGAACTCCGCTGAGATGGCAGTCCCAGCCCCTGATGAATGGACTTCCCGTGTGCAAGACTGTGGTCTGGGTGCATGAGGTTGGAAGGACACGGGACCAGGGGAAATTGTTCCCCGGCACCCCACTTTCACAGCTTCTCCCACTTCATTCCATGCAGGGCCCCACGAAAGAGGGCCGAGTTTTGGTTTGGGGCCTCCAGGTCCTGCCGGGCTCCACCTCCAGCTGACCCCTCAAAGCACCCTCTAGGTCCAGGCCACTCGGCTGACCCTTACTTCTGTCAGAGTCCACGTCTACTGCTCCTGTGGACAGGAAGCATCAGCTGTGCCCTTCTGTCCCATCCCGGTGCGCCCAGGGATGCAGGCCCGTCCTCAGGTCGGAGCTCCCCACCCCCCCATCAGGGAGACAGAGAATGTGAGCCGCCCAGCCTGTCAGCCTTGTAAGCTCTCTGCCGAGGTGAGGGGCAAGGTTATGGGAATAAGATTTGAGGCAGGAGACAGGAACTGAACCATATGGGAGCCAGAGGGACATAGATTAGGAGGCCTGGAGGAGAGGTATGGATTTGGGAGGAAGGAGCCAGGACTGGGGTTTGTGGGGAACTGCCATAACCAGAGGGCCGAGCTCAGCTAACCGGGAAGGCTGGCACCTTGTCCCGAAACAGCCAGCGCACCGAGGAGCTCCCTGGGTAAACCCGTCAGCCCACCTCTACCTCCTTCTCCCCTCAGGGCGCCATGACCCCCCCCCTGCTATTCAGGCCCTGATCCACAGTGCACATGGAAGACGAAGGGAGGGAGGGACTTTGCAGCTGGGGCATAGAGGGCACCACGGCTCCCACCTCGATCTCTTGGGTCACTCACTCTGGGGGAAGCCGATCACCATGCCATGCCACGTGGACACTCAAGCAGCCCCACAGAGGGGCCCCCACAGAAGGAGCTGAGGCTTCTGGTCAAGAGCCACCGCCAACTTGTCAGCCAGGTGAATAACCGCTGTGGGATCCGCCAGCCCCGGTCAAGCCGTCAGATGACTGCGGGCCTGGCCGACACGGACTGCAACCTGGGCCAGGAACACCCAGCCAGGCAGGCCCTGTCCCTGACCCTCGGTGAGAGAAGACACATTACATGGTTGTTTAAGGCGTGGAGTTTTGGAGTAGTCTGTTACCGAATACGGGTCCTTGGCTTCCCTAAGTACAGGAGTCGCCCTTTTTGAGGGTGGGGTACGGCCCTCATCGGAGCATTGTCCTCAGCACTCCGGAAGGAGAGGCCTCGCCTCTCTGAGCTCTCCACCTTTCTCCCACACCCTCACCGTCTGACCCTCCGTGGCCTTGGGACCCTGGGCCTTGCCCTCTGCTCCCTGCCAGCTAGTCCCCA